CAGGAGAGAGAGTACATGTTTTGTGGCAGTCAGACAACCTCTTCCAAGGCTACATTTCTCCAAACCTAAAGCAGCCCCAGCATTCCTCTCTGAACCCACTTTCCCACCTTTGCAACTAGGGTCGTTCCCACCTTATGTGTGCAGTGCAGACACCGGAGCTCAGAGCCTGACCATCCTAGGTCCAGCACAGTATTAACGGAGCCACTGTCAAGCTGTGTCATCACAGGATAGTGGGAAGCCTAATTCATTTGTATATACAGAAAAAATATGTCCTACAACAGGCAGCCAGCTTCCAGCCCTGCTCACGATAAAAGTGGAGAATAAGGGAAGCTTGGGAACCTGGGAACTATAGGGAAACAGGAAAAGGTTGAAATAGGGGCTGGGAGTTAGCTCAGCTGTTGGCAGCTGTCCTTGGAGAGGACCTGAGTCCTGCTCCCAGCACCTATGTCAGGGACCCACAACTTCCTGTAACTCCAGCTCCGGGTGAGCCAATGCCTCTGGCTTCTATGGGCACCTGCACTTACACACACATATCCACTTACACACACATATCCACCTGCACACACACATAGTTATAGATGACAAATCTTTTTAAAGGTGAAAATATTTAAGAACTCTTTTCTGTTCTGCAGTAGGTTTTGCGCTCAAGATACATGCTTGTCCCTAGGTCATAGCAAGAGGCCTGAACATCCTGTTGTAGGGCATATTTTTTCTGGACATACAAATGAATTAGGCTTCCCATATCCTTCGATGACACAGTTTACCAGTGTATCCATTAACATGGCCAGTCAGGGTGGCCATGGAGGGCCAACTGCCACCTGGCCCTGGAAGGACTGCAAGACCTCAGCCTCACCCAGAGCTTCTGAAAGACAGTCTGAATTTTAAGATCTTCAACGATACACGAGTATGTTAAAGTCTGAGAAACATGGTCCCAGAAACGCACACACACACACACACACACACACACTCGCACACACACTCGCACGCATGCACACATGACAAAGCTTATGCCTCCCCTCTTCCTTCTGTCAGATCATCAAAATGTCTGATGATTCTTAACCACAAGGGCTACCCTTGGTTTTGGCCTCTCTCCAAAATATTTGAAGGAATACACTCTACATGATTTTCCACAGGCCTCGCTGTCACCCTGCACAGCCTGAGCCCAGCACACCTGAATTAAACTGAATTAAACACTCACCGCTTAATCACAACTATGGATTATAGAGTGGAGAAGCAACTGTAACCGCACAGGGAGAGAGAGAGAGACTCCCTGTGAAAAGGTGCTTCAGCCAATTAAAAGCGATACAAATTGCTAATGATGCTGCCATAGGTGCCTTGTCACTTACTCTCTTCCTATGCAGGAAAATCATGATGAAGGAAATGATTCAGTGTGTAGCTGATCACATTCTGTAGATGTTTATTTAATTCCATAACTGGTAATCCCAAACTCATGGTGTCAAGATTTGAGTCTGCAATTCTACCTTCAAACCTCCAGGATGGGATGCAAACCGGTGCTGCCCAGAATGTGAAAAAGAGAGGGAGCGTTCTACTCTTTGGTCCAGGCTGCAGCTTTAGCAGAAAGGAAAGTCCCTTTGGCCTTACTGACTGGGGAAGGAGCGGGCTTGCTGTGGGCACTGCACTTCACTATCTATGTCCAACCAAAAGCAGCCCGCGCTTTGAGAAGTGTTCTGAGAAGTTGTTTCTCTGAGTTGTGTTCCTTGCAGAGCTCTCATTGGAATGGTCTTGTGGCTCTCAGGAGGAAGGACACATCTGTTAGTTCAGGCTTTGTAGACTGACTTCATGGCCAGAAATGTCCCCTCTGCCTCTGACCAACTGTGTGACTTTGGCTAAGTGACTTCCTTGTATAACTGTGACATGTATAAATCAATACAAAGAGCTGTTGTGAAGATTATATGAGATGATATATATAAAATGTTACAGTGTCTGGCACATAATAATCAATGTCAGCTATTAATAGTCCTTGACAGAATCTGGCTTCCATTAGAATTGGTTTCCTGACTACATCATGTGCAAACTGTTTATATCCCAAGGAGCTGGCATAGGTACTTACAAATGGCAGACAAACAGTATTTGTCAAACTGCTTTGAAGGTATGCCAGGAAGAGGAAGAGAGGGCTGCTGGGAACAAACAATGTGCATTATGATTTTACCCAGGGCCAGAATCTCCAGTGTTTGCTTTTTCTTTTGTTACCAGAATGCACTGTGTCAGATAGCAAAATGTATATAAAGTGGTACTCGAGAGACGCTATTTATCAAACCAGGTGTTTTGTTCAGAGACAGCAAAGGTATACTAGGAGACATCTAAAAATCTCCAGTTTGATCTCTGGCTGAGTGGGGACTAGAGGCTGAAGTTCATCCAGAGCTGTACTGGGCAAACTGAGTGTCTTGGCATGAAGTCACATCATCAATTAAGATCATCAACCTAGACAGGGCCATTTTGTTTTTCAGAGTATCTACCTAGAAAGATGTGCGTGGAGCATTTAGGAGTTGTGTGCATCAGGGCAGGGGAAGCCCAACTACAAACTAAAGGTCCTTCTGGCTCTTGAATGAACAGCAACTACACTAACAGTTTGTTAGACACTGATTGAGTGCCCACTGAGGAGCTCAAGGTTCTTGTGGCTGAAAGAACCTTCGAGACTTGCCCAAAAGCTAAAAAGCAGCCTCCAAACAGAGCCCAGGATCCTCTCTGAGATGATGTCCACCTCAAGGACTCGTCCTTGTGGCTTACGGGCAGATTCGTAATACGGGCGTCAGAGACCTGTTGTGAACCTCATGTGGTGAAACTGCTAACGCAGCCTTGGGCCACTGAGTGTCAACCTGTCTGAGTCTGCTTCCCGGAGGCCTTCCAGCATCTTCTGAGGCTGCTTTGTGAGCACCTCAGCTGCCTTCTGCCCTCTGTCATGACAGAGGCCTCTCTCCCAGCACTCTGCCTGCATAGACAAGGCAGCTATGTTTTTTAAGACAAAAGAAAAAAAAATGCACTGGAAACCATACATCCAAAGATGAGTACAGAAATTATCATTGAGGGTTGGAAACTAACAGAGAGAAGGAAAACAATTGATTATGATGAGTGCCACCTTAAACGTTAAAGGTGAGGCATTGTAGAAACATCCAAGGCAGGTCCTGAGCTAGGCCAAAGGATGGGAGAAGGCTTAACTGGGAGAGCAATACTCAAGAAAAAATAGGACCAAGAGCAACAGCCTGTATTTCATGAGCACACCGTCTACATCAGGAACTTTACGTGGATGGTTACGCTGTCCTTATAACCCTCTGGGGCAGGTATTAATCTCTTCATTTCGCAGGAGAGAAAACTGAGGCTCGCAGTAAGAATGATGGAGCTGGAATTCAAACAAAGGCAGGCTGGCTCCATGATCAAGAAGAGAGGTCAGATAGGCCTTCAAGATGGAGGAAAGTGTCTTGCAGCAAGCTGAGCAGGAGGAAAGAGCAGTTCCCTGGGGAACTGAAAGTACTTGGTGAGGACTAGCTGGGGGTGGGGACACATGTTCAGAAGAGAAACCAGAAGTAGAAGAGCTCTGGTGAGATCTAGACTTTTTGACAGATAGACATTCGATTCATGTGGTCTAACCCCTCCAAGACTCACATTTTCCCTTCTGTCAAAGGTCCTATAGGATAATAATGTCTGCCTCGCCCCCATAAAGAATGGCCATTAACACCAACTGAGATTAGTGCTGTAAACTTGATTGCAAAACACAAATTCCTTCACAGACCAGATTTCATCACGGTCTCTTCCCCAATAGCTTCAGAGATGCACAAGCCTAGAATCCCGTGATCCAGAGCCTTCGGAGCGGAGACAGCGGTGGGGAGTAGAAGCGCCCTGGCCCCTGGATCCATGCTTACCCCTTCCTAAGTACAGAATGCTTGCCCACATCCACAGCTGCCACTTCCTAAGTAAGTATGGGATCCCAAGGTGAGCTGCCCTCTTCATTCCTCCACTGAACCCTCCGGGGAAATGGAGAAGATAAGGACAGCACTTACCTTATATGGATGACGTGAGGGATGCTGTGTACCACGTATGATAAAAGCAGCACAGGTCCCAGCACACAGTAAAGGCTTAGTAAACCCACACAGCTATCCTCTACCTTAATTAGAAAGAAATCCGTTTGCTATCCTCCATCCCTCTGCATCCTATGTGATAGAAATCTGCGAGCATATTAGAAGCTGCCGATGAGGTAGGTTTGCGACCCCACATTCCCCCTTTGTTCCTGGCTCCCAGGGACTGGCAAGCAGCAGGCTCTCCGTCCTGGCAGAAAATGCCCAAAAGAGGTAAAAGGCAGAGACCGCACACCATTTGTGCGCACCAGTCTGCCCTTGTAGTTCCCTAGACAGAATCGAGTGTGGTCAGTCAGACATGACCTGCTCTTTTAAGGGGCACTCTTCCTTTCTTCCCTCCACCCCTCTCTCCCTCCCGGGGACAAGCGCACTCCCCCACACAGCTCCAGAAGCTTGCAGCTTTTTTACAACACGTACTCTGGGGTCCTGTTGTGACAGCCTCTTGCCACATTAACTTGCCTGTCCAACTCCCCGAGGAGAAGGAGCCTTTGCTAATGTCCCAGCAGGAAAGAACGCAGGAAATTCAAACAAAACAAATCTACACGCAGAACCCAGCATCTGCAAGCCAGGGACCCAAACCGAGACTAGATGACTCCAGACTGTAGATGAAGCAGCTGCTTCTTTAGGTACAAGAGAATTGAAAAGCAGTCGCTTGCCGCTTAAAAAAAAAAAAAAAAACCAACAGATCTGCATACCAATTAATTATGAATATTCATCGACTCTAGCCTACTCGAGAGCCACCCTGCACTGCAACCCTGAGCTCTGCTTCCCAAAGCTTTCTCTGCCTCGCTCAGGAGGAGAGTGGGAAAGTTCATTCAGGCGCTTTGCCTTTTGCTCTTTCAAGTACTTGCTTTGGGTCTGGGCTTTTTTTCCCCTGAAGGGTTTGGATCAAATCAGTTCTGGGCTTACCCTTTATATCTTCCATAAGGGGCAGCTTTTTGTTTTCTTCCTCTTTCCTCGCTTGTCTTGGGTGTTTTTTTGGTTTTGCTGTCTCTGCTTGCTGTGGTGGCTTTCTGTGAGAGAGGTACTCACGGTTCCGAGATATAACAGACCCTAGGGCTTGTGGGAGGGGCTAAATTAGCCAGCCTGGTTTCGGAAGGAACCTCAAACTCTGTCTTTTTCATTGACTAGAAATACAGATTGGTAGAGGAGTCGGGCAGTCCCTTTAGTTACTCGAAAGCTTCCTGGGGTTGTAATTTCTTTTTCCTAGGCTTGAAGCAGTGTGTGTTCAAAGCTCACCTTCTTCTCCTCTCTTCCTCTTTTCCTCCCTTCGTCTTCTCCTTTATATATCTCTTAGCCTCCCTGTTACAGAAAACCCATTTCCATTTTTCTCCCTTGAAAAAAGTCATTTAAAAAGAAAATCAAGCTCTGTGTCCTGCAATTATGATGCCAGTAGCCAACACCTGGGGAAAGCTCTCCCTGCCGCATAAAGCTGAGCACTTCCCATCCCCTGAAGAGCAATCCTTTTCAATCTCACTGAAGAAGAACCCAGACGAAGCCACATGATTGTCTAGAAAGCCTTCTGGGACCACAGAGTAAACTGTTCACCAGGTGCCTCTGCCAGCTCTGAAGTGACGAGCATCATGCACCTTTCCCCAGCTTTGACTTCCTACCTCCAAAGTCCGACAGATGTGGATAACTGCTCCCAGGCTTTGCAAGGTGACCTGAATGCAGGTGAGAGGCTGCCAGATATATTTTAAACTCTCAACTGGTTTTGAAATGAAGACAAGGGCTGGCCCTTAGGGAGGAAGGTAAGTCCTCAGGTCCCGAAGCCACTTGGACAGCTTCCCCTTACAAGGCTGCTGCAATCTTAGCTTTGGCGTCTGAAGGAGACGAGAGGCCTCCTGTCAACCCAAGGTGGCAGCCAGGAAACTAAGCCACCTGTTCTATTCACATGCCACAAAGCAAGAAGCCAACTGCTCTTGCTTGCCACCTTGCTCCCAACACCGGTTTCTCCCACAGTAAACACGGTACTCAGTAAACGAAGACTGAGTGGCTGAATTTGTGAATGAACACCATTCCCCCCCCCGTATTTCCTTTATAGCAGAGAATCTGTATCTGAAGCTAATTATACCACGAGACATAGTTCTACACAAAATCATTTACTCTGTGCCCACTGAAGATTGTTTTGAAGGAAATGCATTCTCTGCTACGCTTTCAGTGTGTTTGTAAAAGGGCAGGGTGACTTTCCAGTTTAGATGTCTGTTGCCTTCACAGTGCAGTGCCTGCCAAATAGCATGTGCTCGGTGAATTCTGGACACTTTGATAAATCCAGAACTGTAGAAAAAGACTTTCTGTATCTTACTAGATGGTGCATAATTATAGGATTTTGCATTTAGAAGAACAATTAATTACACTAAATCAAAAATCTAATAAGTGCCTTCTCTTACCCTAGTTTAAACTACATTTCTAATAATGAATATTGGTTTGATATCTGTCCTAAGATAATAAGATTCCTTTAAGTGATATAAATGAGATATTTGTAAATATCAGCAATCTTGGTAGTTTTATGATTCTATGTGTGCTCCATAAAAATATAGGAAGTTCAGGACTGGTCAGGTGGCTCAGGAGATCAAAGTACTTGCTGCCAAGCCTGACGCCTGAGTTCAGTCTCCAAAATCCTTGGTGGAAGGAGAGGACAGACTCCCACAACCTGTCCTGTGACCTCAACACATGATTTCCACCACCAAACACTCCCTCCCACCTACTCGCCCACATATTTGTTTTTAAAAACTATAGTTCACCTGAGTTGAATATAAAGTATTAGAAATAACTTTCATCCTACACAAATCTGACAACAGTGAATGATTTTGGTGGTACCATGCCCTGTTGTTCATGTTGCTCAGTGTACATGGCTCCTTGGTATCTTTAGAGTTCAGCCGGTGTCCTTTCCCAGTCACTCGAGAGTAATTTATATAAGAGATGGCAAGGAGGGCCTTTTTAAAGGCCCGAAGATTGCTTTAAAATTCAATCTTATTTCCCAGAACAAAATTTTTTTTCATCATTATAATTTTATTTTTTCCCAATAGAAAGTAGAAAATAACCAAGCGCAGTGGTGCACACCTAGAATCCCAGCACTTGGGGAGGCAGAGGCAGAGGCAGGTAGATCTCAGTGAGTTCCAGGACACCCTGTTTTATAAAGCAAGTCCAGAACAGCCAAGGCTACACAGAGAAACCTGTCTTGAAAAAAAACTAAAAACAAGAAAGAAAGTAGAAAATAACTCCATCAAGAAAGATGGGAGTTACTAGAGCTAAATATACCTGTCCTTCTTTTACTAATGAAATCTATTTTTAACATAAGTTCTTAGGGAAAAAGTTTCATTTTTCCTGCACCTTCAATCTCTTACATTTTGTCAGTTCCTCCTTTAGCATCTAAAGTAGTTAAAGTTCTCCTCTTAAAGATAAATTCTGAGCTGTATGTAGTGGTGCATGACTTTAAGCCCAGCACTCTGGAAGCAGAGGCAGGCAGATCTCTGTGAGTTTGAGGCTAGCCTGGGGAGTCTAGGATAGCCAGGACTCTGTTACACAGAGAAACCCTGTCTGGAAAATGAAAACAAAATGTAAATTCTGGTACTTAACATAAAGGATTTAGTTTTGCAAGATGAGAATATTCTGAAGACTTGTTGCTAAGCAATGCGAATGTACTTAAGAAGGGTAAAACATAGCCAAAGATGATCAATACTGTAACTTTTATGCTTATATGTGTTTTCCACAATTTTAGTTGGGTTTGGTTTGGTTTAAATAACAAATATGCCACCTGCCTATGCCGCTTCTCTTTCCACAGATCATGACTTTGCCTTCACTGGGTTGCTGCACTCCCTCCTAATCCATGCATTCCTGTGAATAAATGTTCCTGGAAAGAGGTTGTGTCTGCAAAGACTGCATGACCTATTAAAACTGCAGTGCTACGGCAAGCTGAAAGGTTACAGGTCCAGAAGCTAGTTGCCTTATCTTGGGTAGCGTTTAGCTCCCTGAATAGCCATTCCTTGCAAACTTTGGTATTAGAACTAACAACCTGTGATTAAAAAAAATTTTTTTGAAATCTATTAACTTTGCACACTACTAGCTGCCATGAACCAAAAGCTAAGAATGTCATCAGACAGCATCTTAGGCCTATAGATTCCTCCATTTCCTGTAACTACCTTTCTGATGTAACTACTAATATATTTTAAACTTGCCTTGACTTATGATTTTCTTTGTTCTGTAAAACTATAAAACTTCATTAAAATATGACCCCTCCCCACTGGCTACATCTTACTGGTGATTAAGCATTATTGGCCTATTCCTTGCCAGTTCTCAAATCTGTTTCCTCTCCATTTCTGTAACCTCTGTCACAGTGCTTACTCTCTCATCTTTGTCTGAACAACTGCAACTCAATGTCCCATTATCCCAAGCCAGGAACAAAAGAAGTTAGAGGCATTTTAATACATAAGTAAATATAATTCATGTTCGGTCACTCTGCTTCACAAGGATGTCTGTTCTTTCTGAGCACCCTTGAAATAATGAGTCCAAGAACCCATACAAAGGGTTAAGCAATGCAGCTGCAAGCCACAGTCTCAGCAGCCCTTTTTGTGTCGGGGACAGGATCGGGAGAGTGGCACAAATCTGTCATTTGCAGTGCTCAGGCTTGGTTTTCATAAAAAAACCTGTGGTGAATGTAAAGTGCTCCCAAATCTCCAAAGCCCAGCTGCAGGCTGACTTCAGCCAGGACAGCAGTCCTAAGAGTCTGTGTTCTGGATGCCCTGGGGTCTCCCCTCCAGAAGCCCTCCGTGCTCTCGCCTGCTGTCTGCATCAGAAGGCTGGCTTCCTAGCTCCTCTGACCTCTCGGATTACCTTAAGTTAGCTGTGCTTGTTGCACAAGATTTCTGCTTCTCTCAAAGCCTCTCTCTATTTAACATTTTCCCTCTAGGACTTGCAAACTGCTCCTTTGAGCCTACAGTTGGTTGTATCATGACTGCTGCTATCAACCTCCCCCTCCATTCCAGCTTAATGACATATGGCTCTCATATTTTTTTTAAAGTCCCATTTCAGATCAAGTCTACTTGACTTGCATCTTCTGTTCCACTCAGGCACTGACTAATTCTATCTATGCAACACCTCTCCCTTATAAAACTCTGTTCATGTTAAATAGCATGCCCCAAGTAGCTGAGGCTGCCATTCTTCCCATGGCCAATCCCCTCTAGGCAATAACAATGATGATTAAATAACTAAAAAGTGTACAGTGAATTTTAAATGCATATTAACTCATTTATCATCCCAATAACCCAGTGATCTAAGTATGGTTGCTCTCCTTTTTCTACGGACTGGGAGCCGGAAGCTCAGAAAGATTAAGTGTCTTGACGAGGCTTGAAAGTGGTAGAGCTGGTATTTGAACCCAGGTTAATGGGACTACACTACCTTTGTGTTTAGCTATAATGCTACATGCTCCAGACTTGTTTCGTGGCCATCTTGCATTAGTACCAGGCCCAGGTTTGGGGCTGTCAATCTTATTGTCTTTATTCTCCATACCACTGCACAGATGGCCTTTCTGAAATGTGTATCTTGATAATGTTATTCTTGTGTTTACATATCCCAGTTTCCTTATGCTCTATAGGTAAAATTCCAACTCTCTTCATGGAATGGCTCAGGGCCCACTCTACTCTCTCCCCACATGCTCTGCTAGGGGCAGGATCACTGTGCTCACCCCATCAAAATCCACTGCAGTATCATGCTCCTTTACAATCTTACTTATATTCCAGGCCATAAGCTTTAGAGTCATGTTTCAATCTTCTTTCACACCCCAAATCTAATCCTTTACCAAATTCTGTGATTTCTTCGTTCAAAACATACTGAGAATCTGATCTCCTCTCTTTGCCTCCTCTGCTAAATGTACTCATCTAAACTGTATCATTCCTCAGCTGGATTGTGACAACCAATTCACCAGTCTCCTGCTTTCTGCTCTTAACACTCTCTTAGCACCGCATCCAGAATACCGAGATAAGACAGAGGAGTCTACCACTCCCTGCTGAAACCCTGCAGTGGC